CGGTGGCGTGACAAGCCCAGGGGCACTAGGTAAGACGCAGAAAGGAACAGGACCTGACAACATCTGGAACAGCTGTGAGGCTTGGGGCGTGCTAAGGGGGAGGCTGGAGGCACACATAGCCCATAAGGCTGGGGTGTACCGGGTCACTCCAATAGAACAGGGAACAGTATTAGCATACACCGTGTACAAGGAGATCGAAAGCAGCCTCCCATATATGAAAGTACATTTCATCAAAGACATGGCGGGCGAGAATAGAGGGTGCTGGATGGCTTACTTGACACAGTAGGGGGCACTAGCGGGATCACGGCTGCTCCTAGGCCCCACTCCGTGACACCAGGCAACTCATTTAAAAACTTCTGACTCGTGCTATGGTGATGCCTATTAACTACAGATTACAAAGGCTGGTCTTTGATCCAAAACTCACTTCCCTATATGATGGGTCAGGACCTGAGCTCTAGGAGGGTCCAAGCATTCTCAGAAAAGTCTCAGCTTTTTTAGGACTTGATGCAAGACTCCTCTTTCTGTAGATATGGAACAGCTAAGCACTGAATGACCATGATGGCATGTACCAGGAATAAAAATCACCTGGAATTCTTCCTCTGCTATGAAAAGCTTTATAATTAAAAAACCTGCAAGTTCAATTCCTGTCTATCAAGGGATATAGTGTACTTCTAACTGCATATAATGAGGCTTTGCTATTACAGTGGTGGGCACCTTTAAATGTTTACAATAAGGCAGCAGGAGGGAGTGATACAGCTCATGGACAAGAGTAATTAACCTTTACTATTGGAGCTGACTTCTATAGTCTATAAAATAGTATATATGTTTCATGGCAAACACCAGTTTGACTTGTATCAGAGCTGGGAGAATGTGCCGATAATCTTTCTAGAGACTTTGGTTTGAAGTGGTGTGCCCTTTCCTGGTGCCATCCTGCACATTCAGGTCACCCTAGTTTTACTAGCACTAACAGAAAACTTATTAAGTTCAAACCCTTGAGCAGACCAAATGAACTTTCTGCAGGTGTTCCTATCTGAAACCTAATTAGAGGCACATCAGAAATCATTCCATATGAGACGCATCACTAAACAACTACCCAGCACTGCCTGAATTTCAAACAGCAAGCAGTAGAATGGAGAAAAAAGGTTGGGGGGGGATGGAGGGAGCAAAAGCTTTTTACACTTAGGACAGAGTTAGCGAAAAGTGGAACATCCACAAGGAAATAAAAAGGTACATTTAGGCAAGTCACTTCTTAGCCATATATGCTAAGGTTATCTTCAGTCACAGAGGCAGCGGCTGCTGCTACAGCTCCACCCTGCATCTTTTAAAGCCAGGGGAGCAGGATCAAATTCCTTACACTTTTCTTAAGGATGAAAAAGGATAAATGAACCATAAAGAGCTCCTCTACCCTTAAGTAAGATGGGGTGGTTCCTTTAAAAACAAAAACTAGGAGAAAATAGAGGGGGGGGAAAGCAGAAAGTCATCTCAACCAGCACTCCCTCAAAAGTAAGAAAAGTATGGAAATAAAGCCTTTTGAAAATGTTCTCTCAGTTATTCTGGAAGGCCAGTTTCTTTAACTGTCACATAAAAAGAAACAGAGAATTGGCTCTCAAAGCAAATGCCCACTTCTGACTTCATCCTCTGTTGTCAATACACTTCTTTACCTATGTTACAACCTACACCTTAAAGACCTTCTCTCCTACTGAATAAGGAGTAAAGAATATGCCATTATGTGCTGCTTTCTGCTTTCCATTTCTTCCAGCTTGGATAACTAAAGTCATTGTAAAACAAGAGCAAAGGTGGTGTGATCAGTTTCATGAGTTTAACTTGAATTAATAAAGAATAAGAAACTAAATTTGAGGCCAAAGCTTCAAACAACAGTATCCCCACAGAACTCTTCCCTCCATAATACTAATTAATTCAATTATTAAGATGAAAGCATTCAAGAAATGTGCTTTACTTTCAGCTATTTGCATTACTGTCCTGTCCTTCTCCCTGTCTAGCTGCTTCCACTTTCTGGTTCTCATGTACTAGCCCAAGGCTGCAGTTTGTAAGCCAAACAATGCAAGGAAGTGTTGGCTTAAGTACTGTTTATCATGGAATTTGTTCAGTAGATAATTTCTATTAGTCATCCCTTTTGTTCAAGGGGGAAAAAATGTTCTCTTTTTTTAAACAAGAACTAAATTCTGGGCCCAGTTTATTTGACCTTACAGGGTGCATAGGGAGACAGGGTCTTCTCAGGGAAGCCCTGGAATGCAAGGTTGGTGAGAGAAAGCTGTCTTTTGGAACAAATCTTCTGGGGCCTGGTTTTTACCTTCGTAAAAACAAAGGCACCTTGCTTTAAGGAAACTGCTGGGCTTTCCGTGTGAATTTCTCCCCTCATCATCCTGTTTGGGAGGTAATGGGGATGTTGAATAAGGCTGGTCAGTGGTTTTTCAAAAGAACCCACAGTTGTTTGTTTGTTTTTTTTTTTTTTTTTTCATTGTAAAATGTCAGTTTGTCAAAACAAACTTTCTGCAAGACCATGCCAGGAGAGGAGATGAAATTACTGGCCAAACCTAGAGAGAGAGAGAGAGACTGAAAGAGACAGAGAGAGCCCTGTGCTTAGGGTATGTGGGAGCCTCGGATTCAAGCCTCTGGCACAAATTGGGCAGAGCAGAGAAATGTTCCCAAAATGGGAACATTTTTGAAGTTCTGCACTTTCATGGGATGGGGTAACCACGTCCTGTCCAGTGCCAGTGTGTAGGCTAGGTTGTCCTGCATCCTACTTGCAAGCAGGATAGTTCACAGGACAAGCAGAGCAATCTGCACATAAGTCATGGATCCACCCTGAGCTCCAGTAACTCCCCCACTTCTGCTTCTGTAAGTGCTGCTACCAAGGATTTGACTCCTCAACTCCAGCAGTTGTAACTTCTACCAGGCTTGTGGAGTCAGATGACATACACTCCCTCATGGAGGGTCTTAGCTTTGCTCAAAAGGCTTAAGCTGGGCTGCTGCTATTATATTGGGCATGTTGTCTCATCGCTGGGTAATTTTATCTTCAGCCCAGCTAGCCTAGAAAGAAAAGATCCAAAACTAATGGAGGACACTGCTACCTAGTTCAAAACCAGATCAACACAAAGCTTCTTTAATGGTCTGTGGAGGAAGCAAAAAGCTGAGAGAGCAGAGGTAGCAAATGGGGAGCTGGGACTGGATCTGTAAGAAAGCCAGGAAGAGGTGCACACTCTGGGTAGAAGACCAGCAGTAATCACAACAGGACTATAAGAGGTAGCAGCCTCTTGGCAGGACAGCAAGAGGTAGAAGAGGTGTCCAGCAAGACATCTAGGGGCTGGATCTAAAAGTGCTGGCTCCATATTTTGTGCAACTGTCTGTCATGGTGCCTACACCTTTCAGTTCTGGCAGCCTTCGCAACGGAGGCCTCAACACTCCAAATATGCAAGTGTTTGGGGTCAGAGCCCGATGAGCCCAGTGCTCACGGTTGGACATCGAGCATACAATGTTTCCAGCACCTATCCTCCTTCCAGTGTTCTCCCCTCATGTTTTTCCTAACCCTGGCAACCTGCAACTTAAATATTAGCATCCATGTGCCTCTACCTTCCCACCCCACCCTTTTTGATCACGCGTAGAGGGAAGGTTAAAAGTTCAATGAAATGAAAAGGCCCACCCAGTCAGCTAGCTTCCTGCAGGTGTTATAGAGCAAGTGTATGTGCCCTGCAACTCCCATTCCTAACTCCCAAATAAGTATTGCCTTGAACTCCAACCTTTCCAGAACATGAGGGGTTACACTATCTGCAGAGCACAAGAGCTGACCCCCTAAGGCATAAGAGGCAGGCTCTGAGTGCTCTCACTGAGGCAGCACTATTGGTAAACACGCCAAGAGGGACAAGAGTACAAAACGGAGGAGAGGTAGCATTAGCATAGACAGCCTAGTAGAGCAGAGGTTCCCAACCCCTGGGCTGCAGGCTGGCACCTGGCTGCAAAGGGTTGGCTGCCGGTCCATAGGAGGGTTTGCTGCCAGACTGGAAGTCCAGAAGTGACCGGCGTATTGCGGACTGGCAGCCAACCCTTTTTTATACTGAGTATAAAAAAGGGTTGGTTGCCGGTCTGCAGTATTCTAGTTGCTTCTGGTCTACAGCATGCTGGTTCACAGTTTGCCGGTCCGTGGTCGCTTCTGGTCTGCAGTCTAAAAAGGTTGGGAACCACTGTACTAAAGGAGCCATCAAAAGAAAGCTGACAGGGCACCCTGGAATTTAGGAGCCTCAGATTCAAGCCTCTGGGCTGACTCTAGCAGAACAAGGACTCTGATAGCACATTGGCTGAGAAGCAGAAGTGGGAGCTGCTGGATCTCAGTGTGGATCCTTGACTCTGCAGATCACCCTGCTTTCCCACTTCTAGTTCAGGAGACAACTAAACCTTCCTACTGGCATTGGATAAGATATGGGTTCTCTGTTATACCAGACTTCTCAAGACTTTAAACATTTTCACATTCCACATTGGGGCCTGGATCCCAGTTTCTCATGTTAATGTCACACACACACACGTACCCACATACATTTCCTGATGCTTGCTGTAAAATACATTTTTTGCAGTTTGCCAGAATCAGCCCTGCGGTCAGCCCCATTTGAAAAACTCATCCCAACTGAGGATGGCATCAGTCATGCAGAGGGGCACTTGCCATAACTTCAGTCATTCTCCTGCTCTAACAAGTATATGGCACAAAGTGCCAATGTGGGAATCCTGCACTTTGCCTAAAGTCTCTTCATGATTCCTGCTATGTGGTCCAAGACACTGGGTAAGACTTCACAGAATGATGTGTGCTCCGTACTGGTAGAAGAAAGTTGAAAGAGAAGAACCATACCAATAGGTGGCATGTGGAGGATAGCTGAGGCAAAGCCTTTCCTGCCACTGCCCTTGCTGACCCTATTCTGTGGATGAGTGGGAAGACAGTCAAATCAATGGCAACACTAATGACACTGAGACCATCACCCCAAGCCTCTCCTCACCTGAAATGACTTCCAGAAGTAACATGAGTTTAAGGCCATCCCTGAAATCTTCCTCTATGTTTTCAATCTGTGTGCCAGCCTTGCGAAGGTGAGAATTACACCATGCTGTGAAAGTCTAGAAACAGAGGAGAAAAAAAAAAGAACAATCAGTAATTTTTCATGGACTACACTGGTTCAGAGAAGAGAGCCAAAGAGTAAAATCATTGATGCTAGGATACACTGGGTTTCTTTAGGCCCAAAATAAATTAATTAATGGTCCATGCATTTACCCTGTACGGCATAAGAATAATACCAGACTACACAAAGGGGCTGCAAGGCCCTTCCATCTCAGAGTGCAATACTAAGAAGAGTTTGTTTGAAACAGCTACTTGGTCCTAGGCTCTAGCACATCAAATCTGCTTGATGGGTCCCTCATTTTGTTTGCTCTATCTGGGTTTCCCAAGGTGTTCAATTTTCAAAGTGCTAGGAACCTGTAGCTCTCATTGACTTCGGTCACCCTTACTGGACACTTTCCATGGCACAACATGTTAGAGAAAGTGAGAAATAAGCCTGGCTGGCTTTGGCCTACATAGGTTCTTGAATCAAGGGACCATCCTTTTATGCCAGTTGCCCTCAGGTTATTCTTTCATTAACAAAGCATCCCTAAATACTACAGCCCACGAATGTAATGGGAGATGCATACTGGAGAACTTCTCAAGCATGCAAGTGATATTGCTTATAGCAATTGTCCTGTAGTCTGCCTCTTCTCTCATTCACTGTAATGCAAACCAGTTCACGTACATGACTGCCTACCATTCCCTTCTTTAGCTTTAGCAGTTGCTTACATAAAGGACTAAGTGTTGGCTGAATAATAATGTGATTTTTGCTATTTTTAATGCAATACGGTCATTGTAAAAGCAAAGTGCTTGATGACCAGCCATCAGCAAACTTTTTATGAGCTACTGGTTGTCCATGGGCCCTTGTTTGGGAGCTACTAGTAGATGGATTGCATCCACCCCTGAGGCTGAACACATCAGCCATTCTGGAATTAACAATTCTACACAGCAGCAGTTAAAGATATGGGGAAACCCTATAAATTTGAAGTGGAGGGGCAGGTATTGAGGTGCACAGGCAGTTTGGCTAAATTGCAATTGGGCCAAGACACTATATCTAACCCTTGTGGAAACTAGCCTGGTGTCTGAAATACTAACCACAAGTGGTCAGAGCACAGGATCTCTCATGTGAAAGACAAATATCACCACCACTGCTGACAACAGATATTTTCTGTGGTTATGTTCTGTCATCCTACAGCCTAACAGTGGAGTGTTAATTGTAGATAATAATGGCTGGGTAAGTTTTGAGGAAACACCAAGTTAGAATTAAAATGTTAAGAGATGTAGTAATATAGATTGCTGCAGGGGGAAGTGCCATATATGCAGAACCAGAAATATGGTATGTCTGCTATTAAATAGAAACAAAGATAAAAATACTCTGAACTTCAAGTGCACCATTGTCCTAATTAGCTGAATACAAGAATCTAATTCTCAAAAAAAAAAACTTCCTGGAGAACGAAAAAGCAGCAGCAAATACTACTTGAAGAATTGATATCTATCCAAATATTAATTCATTTAATAAGTTTGATATTTAGAAGCACACTAACAAAATCCTTTTCCAGCAAATATGTTGGTAACCTTACAGTTACCTAAGTGACCCAGGAGATCTCAAAACTGTTTGCCACAGTAAAAAATTAAGCTCTGCCAAAACTCTGTGTTGACTATAACAAGCAGGGCAGGGTGGCACCTTGTGGCCTAACCATAAAGTAACCCCCTGCCCTCTGCCTGACTTCAGAGGGGGAGGAGGATTTTTTAAAATTTGTCTGAACACCATGCTGCTCCAATAGACCAGACAATTGCATTAGCATGGCTATTACTGAAAACGGTGAAATGCTTGCTAGGAAAAAAAAAAAAAAAAGTACCGCTGAACAGCTTCTAATTATTCTGAGTGCCTGGGTATT